AGAGACTGTAACCAAGAAAAGTGCCCTCAAAGAGAAGCTCAGAGGGGCACAAAAAGCCATTTGGTTATCCGGGGGCAGCACTACATCCCTCACCTCATCCCACGGCACAGCAAGTCAGACAGACACAAGGACAGGGCCAAACACACAGCCCTCCAGGCTGCAGTGAGATGGAGCAGAGGCCACCGCTCCACCTTATCAATATGTGATGCAGAAACTGCAGTGGGGAGTGCAAGAGGGAAAAAGCCAATACGAGAGCATCAGTGCAAATGTGAGAGACTTGTCAGGTCTGTACTCCTGTCTCCAAAGGAGCTGGTGTGAGACTGCATGTTACTGAGAGATTTATTTTAAAACGTATTATATTTTGCCTTTTTTTTTTTTTTTTTTTAATAAGGAAAAAAGGAAAAGAAAATAAAAACAGAACCCAAGATAATTGCAGTCTGGTTCTAATAAGCCAGTTAAAATATACAGTGCTGCAATTACGCCTCCTTGCATTTCAAAAAGTTAATTGCTTTATCAGACAAGCCAGTGGTCCATCTAGTCCAGTGCCTCATCTTCAAATAGCGGATGTTTAAAGCTTATTGCAACAATGAGAGGCAAGAAATCTTCTAGGAAGCAAGAGACCAGCAAGCTACCAAAAATAAATATAGGGTTATTTATTTCAAAAATATTTCATACGAAGTAGTCCATTTCTTAATTGTTTTGTTATTTATACAACTGAGTAGGTTTGTTGACCTGTGCTTGTGCATTTATTCTTTTGCAAAGTTTGGCAGTCTAAAGCACCTTACACCACCTCAGTTCCAAGGCACGATTTAAGTGTAGATTACCCAAAAACTCTCAGTCTAAAAAGAACTCTACCTGATTTCATCTGCACACTGCCCTGTCCTATGCCTCTCCCTTCGGCATTGTTAGAGAGATGCTCTGATGCTTGTAGTACAGGAGGCTGTGTACAGTGCTGTCCTGGTGCTGTGAGACTTGTGTTCAGGTTTCCTATTACAAGATCAGCAAGATGTGAAGTAGGGCTGCTTGAATGTGTAAGCCATTAGCATAGTACAGGTTGCGAGGTTGGATGAGCTTTAAACAAGAGACAAACATAACTTCCTAATTTTTATGCAAGCACTTATATATGCAATTGCTTCCATTCTGCAAGGGGGAGGGATCAAATCTATAGAAAACATTTTCTAGTGCTACATCAAGCAATAGCTACTGCTACAACGCTTCCCACAAATCAGTGTTCTAACACAGGAAACACAAGAAAAAGCTAAGAAAACTTCTTTTTTTTTTTACATTACTTTTCCCATTTTTTTCTAAGTATATGGTGTTCTACCATAACTACTACTGTAAAGCATTATGTCTATTTTTTCTTTCTGCTTCAAAAGTGTTTTTCAAAACACGCTGCATGAAAGAAGCTCTATAAAAATGCCTCGAATTGTTTATCTTAAAAATGCGACTGTTTTCCAATCGCAGTAAGAAAAAGTACATTAGGTGGCCATTATTATTTTATCTCCTCTTTTGATAAATAACTGACTGTCTATGGTAACTACAAATGGCTGCAAGGGCATATAGAGAATCAAAGCACAGAAATCACTACCTTTCCAAGTTCTACTAAGAGCAATAAGAGATTGCACTCAACACTGAATGACATTGCTGTTGCTGTTTCCACATTCATTCCCACATCTAATTTTATAATTCTGACTTAGTTACAAAGACTGTTTTGAAGCATATATTGACAGCTTGCAAAACTAAATAACTGGGCCAAATTTCCTGTTAAAATAGCCCCAACAGAGGATTTGGGTATTTCAAAACTATTTCAAATCCACTTACAATGGATTTTGTGAAGCTCGGTACAGTATGTAAACGTGTTCTCACCCTAAAAAAAAAAGCAATTGCAATCCTTTTTAGGTGCACTCTTAAATTCAGTGATCTAAAGATAATGGTGCAAATCTCCAGCTGGTTTAAAATGTCAGCACTTCAACTACTTCAGTGGAGCAGTGGAAGTCTACATCAGTTCAGGATGCCCCTCTTAACACATAAAAATGGTCACGAATGGGGCCAGATCAGTGTTCAGCTCTGCTGACATGGGAGGACCCTTCTGTTATATTTATCGAACCATAACTTTTGTCTCGATCCCTTTAAAATACAGCATCTCAAAGGAAAAATGGAAAATGTGTTTTCAAATGAAAAGTGCTCGCTACCTGAATTATCTGGAGATACAGCAGAAAATCAATGAGAAAAAAGACAACAAACATGCCATTCAAATGAGATGCATAAATATGAGACTGAACACTAATTAATTACATTTGTAGAGTCTTCACTTGCTGTAGCCTTTGTATCACTGTGAAGTCTGTTTGCTCTCAGTTATTTTGTTTGTTTGATGACATTTGACTAATAAATACATTGATGAATTGCAACAGCAAATGCCACCCGTTTATCACAAAAATAGAAAGTGCTCATGTTTGTGACACGGTGAAGTTAAGGGATTTTTTGTTGTTGTTTTGAACTTTCAGTACTTAATAAAGGAAATAATATTGCTTTCCCGGATAAACTTCCTGATCTTTATTTTAATTTTCAGAGAACAAGCAGCTGCAGAATAATGTGACTTAATGAAGCGTTTCTAATAAAATGCTGCAGAAGTTAAAAGAGGGATGCAGAACTGCATCATTTGGAGTAATTTTTCAAGATGGGGATCGCATTTTTCTGTAGATGGGTATTCAGTAATGTGATTTTTCTGTCTTCCAAAGTCAGTAATTTCCTTTAACATGGATAACGAGTTCACAGTTTTCAATTACTTATTAATAGTAAGTAAAACACACAATATAATTAATGCATCATACTGCTCATGCAGTATTTATGCTTTACACAGGTTGGTGAGTAGCAATTCCAGCCAGCAATAAATTTATGTGCAAAGATGTTCAGATCTAAAAAAATGCCACAGTATGTTTCTCTCACCAGAAACATATAGTCTGCATTTGTAAAGAGGTCCTTTATCAAGCCTGTCATCACCTGCCACGAAATTATGAAAGTTCTTGGTTGCTACATGTTTTTCTGCTGCCACAATTCAGTGTAAAGTATTATTTGCTCTATGTAAATCTAGACAGGGTTCAATGAATCATCACTTTGCAACTTGCCAGTAAAGCAATCTCCAACATCCATCTGTAGACACATCTATTTACTTCCGTGCAGAACTACTTATTCATGTATTCCCTACTGGAATTATCAAGTGCCTTGCAAGAACCTACACATAAAGCCAAGACCCCTCTGCTCACAGGAAGAGATGGGAAAAAGGTTACCTCATGCATCCAGCACAATGAAAGACACTGCCACATTACTCATCGTTCTCTGATTATAACAGCATGACACGAATCAAGATTTTATCTCAAAGTCAGCCACAACCAGCAGCATATATAAAATCAATAGCACGTTTTTGAGAACCCCCTTATGTACAAACAACATATGAAGCACTGAATAGTAATTCTGAGCTGCAATCAACTAGTTGAGCAAAGCTCTCCTCTAAAATTACGGCACTTGGAGAGTTTACATTTATAACAGCGACTGTACTGTAGTTTGGGGAATTGGGACTCCGTGAAACCAAAAAAACACACAGCTTTTAACATCGCCTCAGCAGAGTCAGCTCTCCCAAATAAATTTTTAATCATGGAATTCCTATGAATTACTTTACTACTGTTCATCACACAGAAAATAATACAGAGGCATCGGTATGAAATGACTGCACAATTACTGAGGGAAAAGCACCACCGATGTAACCCTTTGCCACCCCTGACAATAATGCCTCCATGTGCACTTTCCCAACTTCAGCTGAGCTGCGCTCCCTGTGCTGCTGAACTACTCCTTCGTGCGCGCTCTGTGCTACACAACATAATCTTAATTTATCAATTGGACTTCACTTAGATCAGCCCATAAAGCAGCTTTAAAGTATTAAACACGTAGCGGGCTGAATGCTAATGTCTGGAATTACTCAGTGAAAACAGAGAAACCAGATAGCAATTATCATTTAGTCAATAGTAATTTAAATGCATCCAGTGCTGCCAGAAGACCCCAAGACCTCGAACGTTTTATGGGGCTTCTAGGGATAGGGGTTGAGTGTGTTTATTATTCCGACTGAGGGTTCTCCAGGAGCTGAAGCACAGTTCCTTGAATGCAGAGCTGGAGTCGACCGGAGGTGATTGGGAGCAGTGAAGTGCTCAGTGCTTTGCAAAAATACTGATTATCTCTGAGCAAACACTGGAAACAGACAACTATAACTACACATACACTTTAAAATGCTTCAAAGCAATGATTTTTAACCCCTGGGAAGAATGAAGCACGCTGCAGAGATGTCTGGCAGCTCCTAGCAGGGCAGTGTAGGCTATTTCTCCGTATTCTTTGCACAGGTTAGGGGTGTCCGATAGTACACTTCAGCGGGAACAACACGGGTTATGTTAAAACTTTGCCGTGCAGAGCCGTGAATGGCATGGAGCAAGGGGAAAGCCTTTTCACTGGGAATACAGAGCCTGTAACAGTGGTAAACGAGTTCACTGAAACGGAAGGGAAGCAGGGCGGACAAGATAGGTTTCATACCCTGCCTACACACAACTTGAGGAGCATTGGAACCACGAGGAAACGGAGTCACGAATCATGCCTTGACAGCCCCTTTTTTAACCGATTCATAAACGGATCGAGGGTTGTCAACCTCCGTCTGCAGCTCTCCGCTGCCCACACCCCGCGTCCCGGGGAGGTTAGCTGCCCCTTCCCTACCCACACGGCCAGGCTGAGCCCCGCAGAACTGTTTGGCTCACTAAAACCAACTCCAATTACAACCAAAACCTCGCAGTTTTCCTGCCGGAGCAGCGGAGGTGGCTCCTTCCCAGCCACGCTCCCCAACTTTCGGACACAGGGAGGGAGGGAAGGAGGGAGGCCGGCATCGCCCCGCAGACCGGCCCGGCTCCGCGGCACCTCCCGGCCCGTCGCACGGACACCGCCCGCTCCGCTCCGCTCACACTTACCTGCGGCCGCTCCGCGCTGCTGGAAGCACCCCGCGCTCGGCCGCCTCCCGTCAACGGGGAGCTCCGGCCTCAGCGCCCGGGCATCGCCGGCACACGGCCCGCGGCATGGAGCGGCTCCGTGCCCGGCTCAGCCTCCCCCGGAGAAAGCGGGGATTCTGCGGGGTGATGCCGCTGGAGGTGTTAAGTGCGTGGGGAAAGAAGGGAGACACGAAATGTCTCTCGTGGACGATTTCAGAGTATTAAAAAAGGGGGGAAAAAAAAAAAAATAGGAGAAGTATAGGGATTCACTGCCGGAGAAGCGGCGGGTGAGGAAGTCCTGCAGCCCGGTGCGGCTCCGCCGGTCCGTGCGGTCCCGATTCAGCCCCGGCAGCAGAAGATGGGAGGAAAACCCGGCGCGTCCTGCAGCGATCCCTGCGTTACAGCGGCGCTGATTGGCCTGCCCGCCCCGCACGGCGCCGCGTCCCCCTCCTGCTGCCTTCTTCTCCCTCTTGGGAAAAGTAAACGGAGAGAGAGGGCTTCACCTGCAGCAGCAGCAGCCGCCGCCTGCGCGCTTGGTTCCGCACCGCGCAGGAGCGCGGAGGAGCCCAGGGGCGGCACGGGCAGCTCCCAGCGCGCAGTGCCGGGGGTGGGGGACCCCGTCTCCTCCCGGCCGTGTGTCTGCTCCGTGTGTCTCCTGCCCGCTCGGTCCCTCGGCTGTCTAAGCTGGGAGCGCTCCGCAGCGGCACCCGCCGCCTCCCCACTGCCCGCGCACAGCGGAGCTGAGCCGCCGCCTCACGCGCGGCTCTTCCTTCTCTCTCGTCCCCTCCCCTCTTAACAGTGGGACGAGGGGCTGCTAAGTTTCACACCCGCGCACACGTGGCCACCGGAAAGGAGCGGATCCCCGGGGTGCCGCGCTCTCCCGGGACCCCGCCGCGCCACGGCCGGGCAGGGGACGCGGGGCCGGGCAGCGCCCCCTTGGGAGTGAGCGGGGCTGAGGCCGGGGCAGGAGCGGGGCAGGGGCAGGAGTGAGGCGGCGGCGCCGGCAGCCAAAAGCTGGACTGTGTCTCCCTCCAGAGGGAGTCGGGAGGCACTTACGGCGGCTCCGGCGGAGGGAAAAGCCCGAGTTTCCCCAGCGGTGCCAGTGAGTCCGTTCTCGCCGGCCTGGGAGGTGGCAGGTGGTTTTATTAGGGGTCAGAGCCCGAAGGGTTCTCCTCCTTCTGCCCACCTCTGTTAAAGGCCACGACAGCTGGTTGACAGAGGGAAGCGCTGGTCGATGAGGATAAGAAAAAGCTCAGCTTGCTGCTTTATTTCAGTGTGGCTTGTGCTGTTGGGAAAAAAAAAAAAAAAAAAAAAAAAGAAGGATGCAGGAAAGTGGAGAGAGCCAAAGGACCTTCATTAATTGAAGTAATATCAAACACAGGGTCAGATTCTCAGTTTTCTCCCAGAATGCTTATCCATTTGTAGGTTGAATGGGAATGATAGTGTGCTAGACTAAGAAGCATTGATTTACTTAATCATCCATCATCGTTTTTTTATTGCTCTCTCTACCACCTAACTTAACAGCAAATATTTGGAGAATAAACTTTTGTTGAGTCTTTAGCTGTCAGCACACCTTGTACAATGCTGATGGTCAACCATGTGAGATGCAAAAGAAGGAAGCAATACCCCAGTTGTTACAGTACATGTTTTCTGTGTAAGTAAGAATCTGTAGAATGTTTGAACTTGCTCTTTTTCTTTTTTTTTCTTTCTTTCTTTTTTTTTTTTTTTTTTTTTCCAAAGCAAATGGAGCCGATCTGGAGGCCAATGCAATCAAAAAGAAAAGGCAAAATAAATAAAGAGAGAGCTTAATTCTCGCTGCCTCACATACAAATAGGACAGAATACAAAGAGGCTGGTTTGGAAAGGGCAAGCTAAAAGTAGCTTAGCACGTGGTTGTCACACCCACAGTTGAGGCAAGCACTGCAGTACACAAGGCTGCAACCTGCAGCCAAGTGAGAAGGCCCTTAAGGCCCTTAGTTATAAGGACAAATGTGGTCTTCGTCATTTGAAGCTGTTAAAATAACATCACAATTTTCCATGCTGGTAACTGTTTTTCTGCATCCACAAAAGGCTAAAAATAGTGCAGAAGAGACTGAAACAACTAAGACCGTGCTGCAATCAGCTGTGTAATTTCAGCACATTGAGCAGACCTAAGGTAATGTGAATCCTGAATGGATGCTCCTTCCCAGCAAAGCAAAATGGCCATGGAACCTGAATATGTAACAGAATGGATATCCGTTACTTATCCGTTGCATGGGCCAGTGGGGGACCACAAATATTGTTGCTGGATTAAAAGCAGCCAGATAATGCCTAAAGTGCAGCTGTTGCACTTTAGACATAGCTAACACCTTGTAATTATAGGAGTGCACAGATCTATATTAGCTGCTTTTATCATTATGCTCATGTTGACAGTGTATGGTGAGACCAGACAGTACTTGGCAGTTTCATGCTGATGTCCTGCTCTTACAAGAATCAGGAAAATGCATCCTGAGACACAGAACTACTGTAACCAGGTTAATACAAACATGTCACATGCAAAAAAGAAAAGAGGAACAGAAGGAAAAAACAGTAGAGAAAGCAACGGATAAGAGGTGTCCCACTTTGGAAAATGATATCGTTCTTTACAGTGTGATGTTGTGGCACATGAGCAGTTGTTCCAGATCCCTTTGCCCAACACCTGAATACCAGGACAGATGCACAGCACTCACATGCAGGTTGGAAGGTTCCTGCGTGCTGCCACTGTATGGCCAGTGCTCCCAGGAAGAGCTGAAATGATCCATTACATCTTTGCAGTACAGCTGGCTTTGCAGATGCTTACTTAGTAAGGCTGACTCATCTCCAAAGGTGCATTTGGGCATGCTGCACATACACTATATGATAAATCTACCATTTTCTGGAAGTACCAGATCGGCAGTCTTTATGCTACACAGCCTCTATTTATATCCTTCTGACTGGAAAATCCCCAGCAGAATACTGTGGCCAAAGAACACAACACAGTTACAGAACACAGCTATTATATGAATGTCCTTTCTTGCTTTAGTTTTTGAGTTAGTGTCACTACATCTTACTTTTCTGGCTCTTCTACACACTGGAAGAAAAGCATAAAGCATAAAAATGGGCACTGGTTCTCACAACAGGTGTAATGTTTGGAACAACTTCAGTATTTCTATTTCAAGATGAACAGCACAGCATAAAAAAGGAGGAAAGTAAAAAGTTATTTCAGAATGTGGCAGTTCCATCTATGTTGATTTAGTATGTTTTTACACACCAATTTTACTCAGAGGCATGCATGTTCTGAGCTGCTGAATAGAAGAAAAGAACATTTTGGTGGATGTGATGATTTTACCTCTGGTGACCTCCCTGGTGTCTACCAATGATTTTGCTCCTTTATCTTTACCATGAGATCTTTCCCCTTCTATCACTGACCATGCAATTGACTTAAAGTAACTGCAAGTGCCAGTGACAGCACTGTTAGGTTCTCTGTTTCTCATTTGGTACATAAAAATAGTTTTACTTGGGCCTCATATAAAACATTTTCCTGTATTCTTTTATTGCCATCCCCTAATCTGGAGAAGAAGCATTCAACTTGTCCACCAGCATCCACAGGGCTTTTTCTGCAAAGGGATTTTCTAGACAGTGTCAAGCTTGTGCTCTTGCATTCGAGTTATTCTGTACCAGATGCTGGACTTGCATTTGTCTTTGTCAAACTTGAAGAGAGCTCACTTTTCCAGCCTGTTACGATTTCTCTGAGCACCGGCTCTGCCCTACAGCGTATCGACTGTTCCCCTACCTCAGTATCACCTGCTGAGAGTGTTTGCCACTCTGTCATGCAGGCTGTTAGAGAGGGCTGTAAGCACATTGATTCCAGTATTGAACACGAGGAATGCCACGATGACTGGCCACTGCTCATTAAGCCTGCCACTCCAGCCAATTTGTACCCTTGTTATAAGCCAGTACCATATTATAAGCCATCCAGTATGTATCTGCACAATTTGGCTATGAGAATTTTATGGTAGACCATGTCAAAAATATCAGTGGAGGAAAGATAAACATCTACTGCCCTTCTCTTCTCTACACAGCCAGTCATTTCAGTGTAGAAGGTAATCAAATTGGTAAGACACAGTTTGCCCTTGTTCAATCTACGATCACATTTCCAAATCACCTTCTTGTCCTTCGTACTGGTGGAAATGGCTTTCAGTGGAATTTACATCATAACTTCCCTGGGGACTGATTCCTACGAGGGTGCTCCAAAAGTAACGCCTCCTGTTTTATTATGTTGACTCACAACATCAGAAGTAGATGGTGGTGTTATGGCAGTAGAAACTGAACCTTCCCACCGATACTCCATTCCATTTTGTTGCCACGTGGCAGATCACACACAGAATCACACAGAATCACAGAATTGTAGGGGTTGGAAGGGACCTCCAGAATGGCATCTGACATGGAAGTGCATCTGAAGCAAAGGTGTAGCACCGAGTTCCTCTGGGCGGAAAAATTGCACCCATCAGCATTCACTGACACTTACTGAATGTTTATAGAGACGAAACAGTGAATGTGAACACAATGAGTTTGAGGGTGGTGCATTTCAGCAGTGGCAAAAATGGCATGAAAGACAAACTACTTTCTGGATGGCCATGCAGATTTTTACAAACACAGCTTGCAGGCTCTTGCTCATCACTGTCAAAAATGCATTGCTAATAATGGTGATTATGTTGAAAAATAGTGTTTTGTAGATGAGGATTTGTCTATCAAACAGTGTTGCTCACTCCTTCAGTGCACTTGGATGCACCTGGTCCCACAGGTACATTTTCTTAAAAGGGCCCTATTCATCTTCCCTTATCATGGATGGTATTGAGCTACCCTAAACTCATCTAAAGCAGAGTTAAACAAAGATAAAGAAATCCTGGGATGAATACTGTTTGTCTGACCTACTGCATAGAATATCATGCAAAAGGATCTATCTTCTTAAGCTATTTCATCAAAAAGAGCAAAATCCCCCAGGCTATAAGAACTCTAGCTATTTTGAAACACAAAGATCCTTCTTTCTAATACTTTGTAAAGCACCTAAACTCCCTGAAGGGGAAAGATTTAAAAATCTGCACTCCTCATTTCTCATTTTTTACCTCTTGACAAGTCACCACTGACTATTTCTTTTAGGTCTTTTAAATATCATCATATCATAAGGCACCATGCTTTCTCCAGGTGTCAGAGACCCTGTGCTGCCAGATGCAGTTTTTGAGTCTTGGTCTGGAGAAGCAAGTACCAAAAAGTTCAGTGTTAGTACATTTTGTGCTGTGGTTCCAAAACTTTTCTGAATCTACTTAATCTGTACAGGGAAAAAATAATCTGAAGGATTCAGATTAAAAGTAGAGCCGTGAGAATTGGACTGGCATGATCTAATTAGTTGATGTAGAAGCACTTGGTGCATTTATTTCTGTGCTCTACGTGACCACCCTCTCTTTTGGAAATAGTCATAGATTTTCTGTTGAACAAATCATTTGCTTGATTACATTAAGCATTTAATAAGCAATGTGTCTGTGTTTTATTACACTAAAAGGAATAGTCCATGGGTGAAACATTGCAGGGTGGACATTGGGCCACCTGTACTGCACAATGAAGTTGTAGATTTCAGCATGAATAAATGTAGTGCTGGTTGCTTATTAAAGTGCTACTCATGAACATGGGAAAAGCCCAGAGCTATAAAAACTACAGTCAGAAATAAATAGAATGTGAACAGTTTTTCTTTTTTTTTCTTTTTCTTTTTTTTTCTAAACTATTCCTCCTACTACATCTGTGGAACTCAACAGAAAATAGAAACCAGCATTAAATCAGGCATTTCAAGAAAGAAATAGGAGAGGAGGAAGGCATCAATACATGCCTGGCTTGCAGCTGGATTACAGTATAATATAA